ATTTGTCTAAGAGCCAGACTGAAGCTGCGTGCTGGGAGGAGTATTATCTGCTCCGCCCATTGATTATTAGGAGGAAGATTAAATAAACCAAACCCCTGAACAGTACAGAACTCCTGAAGAATATTTCTGATCACTCCTACCCCAAGATCCCACCTTTCCCTTAATGTTAACGACTCTGACAAGTTCCTTCTCCCAACTTATCTTCCAAGCCAACAGTGGATTTTTTAAACTAGCACATTTATCATGTCAGCAGAGTACTTAGACCCTTTCTCAATTTGCTTCCTCCTTCCCTTTCCCAGCCAGTTTGCAGGTTGCACAAAAGTCTTTATCAGGAAGAGATCTCTGATCTAAAACGGAAAGTGACCGGATCCTTTAACCTAAGCCCTTCACCTACGGCGTTACAGCTGATGGAGCAGTTCCAAAGAGAAGAACTATACCTTTGTCGAGCCCTGGCTGAAATTAAGTTCTGCCCAGCAGCGTGCACTCAACACCAATCCCAGTAAGATTCACGACCATGGTTTCAAATAAGGAATCCTGGTAACGCAACTTTGCCCAAGGATGCCGCAGGCTATTTCCCTTGAGCTTCTGCCAGCGGATAATTTCCAAATTAAAAAAAAAAAAAGGTGCCGGGGCTCAAAGCTGCCCGGAAGCCACTTCCCCCTGACCCGGGAAGTCCTTCCCCCTAATCATCCCAAAAATGTAGAAATTGACTTTAGTGATGCATTGCAGCGGGAAGGTATTTTGGAAATGTTGGGAGGTGTTGTTGTTTTTTTTTAACCCTTTTCTCTTCCATCCTTGGGTGCTTATTCATTTATTCCCACCATTAAGGCTTTCTGTGCAGAAAAGCGGCTCCCGGTGTAGCGAGCAAATTCTCACACTGGAAAGTAAGGTGAGAACGAGTAAAAGGGGCAGCGCCTTCAGGGTCCTAGAACCGTCCGTCACGATTAGGGAATTAAAACTCTTTTTAAGACGTTTAAGAGTTTAGTTCCCCAATTCCCCGATCCCGCAAGGCTTAGAGGATTCGGTATAGAAGTTTTTAAGAGTGAGTTTGGGGTGAGGACACCAGAGAAGAGGAGGCTTGGAAGAAGACGGTAGGGATGAACTATACCACTTTGGTTATTGTGGATGTAGGAAATACAAATTGGAATATATTTCACATACAAATTTCATGCAGGTTGCATGTTTGTGTAGCAGACTTATAAACTAATCAGTGAACCGAACTTGGTTCAGTAATCCTGAGGTTTACTAATGGCTAACCCCATTTTTACCTCACTTTGAGAAGCCTGGACCTGCTAAAGAGGTTTGCAACCCGCTCCTTGCTTTGTTTGTACCCCTTTTTGGTTTTTCATTCAAAACGCTCGAGTATTTCTATTAGACAGTTAATCTTCTTAAATGCTGTAGTATTCTGTTTTAGGGAATCCTCCCCTAAAATATTTTTTGTTTTGTTTTTAAGATGGCCATTTTTCAAATTTAGTCTGTTGCTGTACCTTTAAGAGCAGTTTTATTGGCAGATGACAGTGCCTAGTTGGCCTTGGCTGATGTTAAGCTAAGCAGACTTTGGCTCCGTTAGTAGTAGAATAGGCATTGGAAATCCAGCCATTATAGGTTAGACTGTAATGTGGAAAGTCATCAGCTTCAAAAGACTCTCACGATATTGTGTTTTAGAAATCATTTGTTTGGACCCTCAATTTCTGGATAATAAAATAAGTCCAAGATCACTGTCCTGTAGTTTGTTCAGGTCAGAATCAGTTTTAATTCCTGATTGTTTGCATATGGGTGGAGGAAGTGATTTTTGAGGAAGCAAAATAATTAACTGCAGCCATCTGATTTGTTTTGGATATCTTTCATAAGAGGTGACGGGATTCCCAGGAGGGAGAAAATAGTATTATTAGGGGGGAAAAAAATCACTTCTCATGAACTATGTTGCTTCTGGATATTTTAGAACATATCTCCCATAAGTCCTAGCTACTGACCTGGGATGATAGGAGCTGCAGTCCGAAACTTCCTTAGGGCATCCTATTGAGTATCATCTTTTAGGAAGGCATCTACTTCACACAATACTCTGTTATAAGGATTTTTTGTCTTTATCTTTGCTCAGCAAGCAAAATACCATCTTTAAGTCAGTGTTTCAGTTCTCATAAGAGGCTAAGGCCTATATGAAAAATATTTATCTAAACCTAGCTCTCCTTGTAATTTGGGGGATCATTTTACTCTCCCAACTTACAGCATTTCCTGAAGGTGCAGGTTCTATGTCATACAAGCAAGAGAGAATGGCACCCAGTTATAAACTCGAAAGGTTGCATTGACTATTGGTAGCCTATTTGTATATTATATAGGTACAAGAGCTGTGCCTAAATAATGGACTTCTTTATATTTTCTCTGTAGATATATACTGCTTGTATATTGCAATAGCCCTACAAGAAAGGTTATTTTTTACAATGGAGACAACATATCCAGTTTATTCAGGAAGAACAGGAAATGAGAGAAGAGGCGTTTCTACTTTGGGGGCCAGATGGCAAGAGTTGGGCATTATGGAATATCCCTCCTCCAAAGTGAGATCGGCCTCACCCCTTATTTCCCAGAAATCCCTAAAGACCTGGCTTTGTTATCATGCCTAGGGTTCTCAGGAGACCAATGAGCTCTTGAGGTGGCTCATTGCTAATCCAATTGTATAAATTTAATAAATAATAAAGCATATTTCACCCAGAAGTACAATTTTCTCCTACTTTCCTTGTGTTCAGGAAGACAATGAAAATGGCTTTATTTCAATGGGGCTTTGGGCTCTAGAATGATTTAATATGTATCTCTATATTCTTGTGATTTTTTTTGTTGTTATTTGAATTGTTTTTCTCAGTGGGGAGATATTCAATTACATTGATTTAGAATCATGCATATAGGAGTGGTCTCTTGAGTAATCAAATACTTTGCCACTCCAGACATTTTGTGGGAGACATTTATTCTTGAATGCCCTGTCATCAGTTTTGACCCCTGCCTTAATATCCACTGGCCACACTAATACAATCAATGATTTCAATTCGTGCTTAGTAATATTGAGTGGGTCATAAGATTCTTCTGCTGAAGTACCGTAACTGAAATGATTGAGTGTGTTAATGTCTGGCTTTTAATTTCTCATTTTCCTAGGGATCTGCAATCTCTCTTGTTTTGATGAAATCCCAGAAGAGAAAATTGTGTGGAAACATCTCCCGCAGGACTTTTTCAGTTAGGGAGCCTAGGTATCAAGGACACTGCAGAGTTATTGAGAGATACATAAGACAAACAACTTCAGCATACTCAAAAATGCCATCTAAGAAATGTTGAAAATGAGGTCAAAACAGTAGAAATAAAAACCAATTTCAGTTATTTCCATATATCTCAGCAGACCTTACTGCAACCTTTTAAGGTAGCTTAGCATCTCTATTAAAAATTGAAGTCTAAAATTAGGGCTTTACCTAGTGCAACTGGGTGAACTCTGATTAAGACTAGATTTGAATGGGACCCCTGTCCCCCAAACTAAAGCTGTAGATTTAGTAAGATATGTTGTCATGGAGTCAAATCTGATAAGCTCTTATCATCCAAGTATAGAACTACTTAAAAAGATCTGAGCTGCAAAAATCTGAATGACTACTAGATGGCAACACAGACATACAGAAATCTCATTTTTAGTACCATCTACTGGTCATGCGAACTGATGGATTGTAGAATATAATCTTTGGAGAAGCACCGCTAACTCTCTTATGGGGATATTTAGACTTTTGTAGCTATTAATTTGCTTTACTCCAGAGCACTTTGGGATATTTTTTCATTAATTTTTAAAAATGTAATTATTACCCAGTTACTGTCCTTCTATTTTACCTTTGCTATATGTGGCAAAAGTCTAATAGTTATGCATATAATCTGAGATAATTTCAAAAATGATGCATTGGATTCCATTATTTGTACAACAGCACTGAACAGAGTGGCCTCTGAGCATTTTTCACATTTACAACCGTTGCAGCATCCCTGTAGTCATGTGGTCAAAATTCGGATTCTTGGCAACCAGTTCATATTTATGACGAAATCATGTGAACAGCTTTTGAAACCTTCTGACAAGCAAAATCAACGAGGAAGGCAGATTCACTTAATAGCTATGCTACTTCTTTAACTGCAATGATTCACTTAACAACTGTGGCTAAAAAGGTCATAAAATGTGGAAAACTCATAAATGTCTCCCTTAACATAAATTTTGGGCTCAGCTGTGATTATAAGTCAAGGACTATCTGCAGTCAAAGTCTATTAAACTGATTTAATCTGGGAACAAATCTGAACTGGATCACTTTAAAGAAGATTTAAGACTGTGGGGGAAGGTCTTGTTGATATCCTTGACCAAAGCTTATGTAGCCTTCTATTTAATAAGGTCTTGTTATGCTTATCTTCTTAGCTCAGGCAATATTGGAGAGATGCTGCCATCTGCTGAGAGATTACATGCAGTGTTATTTACAAGCTTTATCTTGACAATTTGAACAGGTGTGCCTGTCCTAGAAAATTCTCATTTGTTTAGGAAAAGTATTTGACTTAAGGGTCTGTTGTAGCACATCTTGTCAAATAGTAGATCATTAATGCTTCTTAGAAACTTTGTTAATTTCACTCCCTCAGTAATCTATTTCATTGAGGATGACCTCCACAACAAGTACCTGTCCAAAAAGTAAAGTCACATTTATATCCAAGAGAAAAACAAAGGCCAGTTTTTAAACACAGCATTAAATCTTTATGCAGAGTAGTTATTCTATTCGTTATATAAATGGTATGAATTTATACCATCTATTCAAGATGTCGGGGTGGTTATTAGAGAATAATCACCTTCAAATTCAATAAATCCAAAATTCTTTGTATATTGATAAACTCCAAGTGTTGCATAATTCATTTTAAACTTATTGTTCCAATTTCCAAACTTTATTAACATATTTATGGATATTAAATCAAACTACAAAAATAGTGAGAGAAACTCATATTTTTAAGAGTAGACACTGCAGTTTGTTTTTTGGTAAGGTTTTTCAGCAGTGGTTTACCATTGCCTGCTTCCAAAGGCTAAGAGTATAATTAGCTCAAGATCATCCAGCTGTTTTGTGCCTGCAGCAAGACTCAAAATAACTTGATGCCTTAATCACTATACCAAAGTGGTTCTTTTTGTAAGCATCTCCTTCATTATTTTATATTGCCAGCGTAATAAAATTGACAACCAATCAGAAACATTATCTTAACATTATCTTTTTATTCTTAACTAGATCGTTTAATCCTTTATTGCTCTCTCAGATCACATTTATTATATGAATCCATCTCAGGCTTTGGTGGGATTAGGAATGCATCCCTAATTTTTAATTAGTGGAGGATGCATACATACTTATGTTCCAAGGTCTTAATATAAACTTTAACAAATTAAAGCAGAAATATTGGGGTGCTAGGTATTAGTCTTAATTTTCATTCTTTCAAAAGTGATGTTTTCCCCCCAGGCACATATATATATAGCATGGAATAAATATAAATCTATTGGTGGCATAGTGTTTAAAATACAGTATTGCCAGCAAACTCTGCACACAGGAGTTCAATCCTGATAGGGCTCAAAGTTGTCTCAGCCTTCCATCCTTCCAAGACTGATAAAATGAGGACCCAGACAATTGGGGGCAATATGCAAATAATGCTTCAATATTGTAAACCTCCCAGAGAGTGCTGTAAAATGCTATAGGGTGATATATAAGCCTAAATACTCTTACTATTGCTACATTTATGCCTAGAATGCTTGCATATCAATGCACTGGTAAAGCAATTTGTGATGCATTAGAACTTAGTGAGTTTGTAAGCAAGGCACTGGTACTTTCAAGGGAATGACAACCCAGGACCTAGTAGATTCTAATAGAGGTTGTAGCAGATTACATTGCAACAAGAAAAGAAGCAGAATAGATGCAGATGTTCCAGTTTCAGGCATAGGATGACACTGTAACCTCAGAGCCCAAATACCTGGGGGCTGACTCTACTTCCCAGAAGTTCATTGCCAGCATTCACACACTTAGCCAGTTGATCTCCTGTAAATGAATAGTCAAGAATCAGGATCATTCAACAATACCCACTTCAGTTTAAACAACATAATAGCATTTAGCACATCTTCCAACGTCCAAAATTCACATGAATCTGGGTGCTCTGTAAACTTTAGGAAGTCCACTCCCAGAATTCTCAGCAGCGGCTATTATGGCTGGGGGAATCTTAAGGAACTGATCCATCAAAAAAGTATTCACCAAAACTCTTTTTCCATAAAACAAAGATTCCCTTGAATCAAATTCCTGGTTTGCCTCATGGACATTTCAAGGTAGCCTTGGCAATAGTGCACAATTGATCCTACTGGCTTCTTTTAAGATGCTTCTTCAACTCTCAGTCTGGGAAGCAGTCCCAGGATTTCCCCATGGTCTCCAAGTATTAACAAGATGTGGTATTGATTAGTTGTTTCCATAATCACCCCAGGTAGATTAAGGACTGCCACTCACTTGTATTTCTTATCCTGAGATTGATTTCCCTTGACAAGCTGCTCTCAATACATCACCTGAATTCACTTGGAGCCAATGGACAGCTTTTCCTTCCAGCAGTTCCCATTCATCTCTCTTCTCTGCAGCATTCAAATGAAGCCAGAGAATAGCCAGCACTGTTGCCCATATATCTGGGGTCACCTGAAAGCAATGGTAGGGAAAAGATGCTACATGAGCCTTACATATTATTCCTGTACAGAAGTACAAAATATTTTTTCCAAATGATGGCTAAAATAACTATTCAGCAACAAAATCAGAAATACAAGCGAGCTGTTACCCAGAATTCAAAACAATAGGTTAAAATAGATAATGGATTCCATGGATTTAACAATAGTTAACAATAGTTAAGACTCTTATGTTTTCCATGGAGTGAAATTCAATTAAGACATCTTCCCTACCTTTCCAACTCCTGATTATTGGCAACTACCTCCAGGGTCTAGTCCACTCTGTGTCCTAATGCTGAGATAGCTTTGTTGAGTGAGCTAAATGCTCCGTAATATGTATGAAGTATTGAAGATGTTAAAATATTTTTAGGAAGGGCCACATAAGATGGCTGTGCTCTTCCATCCCCCATCATGGCAAAATCAGGGATTAAGGGCAGAGTAAACACGCATTGCCTTGTCTTCCTACCTATTATGACAGCTCCTATATTCCTAAAAATGCCTGCTTACTTTCTATCAGTGTCACAGGTTTTTTTAATTTGTTCTGAACTCTGGAATTTGCTATCCTGTAGATTTTCTGGAATACAACTTTCACAATTTCTTGCTTCTATCCCTGCTACCTGCAATGGGTGATTTGATGCCCACTGCATTTGAAGGGTTCTAAAATGCTTACATGATTTTCATTCTGTAGTCCTTTACCTCAAATTAACTGAACGTGGACTCAAGAAAGCTTTTTCTATCGATAGACAATAATAAATGAATAAAGCTTTTGCTGTTCATTACAGAAACTTACATGGGTTGGTGCTTTGTCTGAGATTTCAGCTTCACTCAGGTCTAGTATGGTGGCTAAGGCAGGCCCATGAGGCCAGGAGCCATCTGCATTCTGCAGGGATACCAATTTCAAAAGAGGAGATTCTTCTTCCTTAGTTCTGCTTCTTGAGCTGGTGAAAAAGGGGATCTTAGAAATGGAGATGTTCAAAACCCATCAAAGTTTACCTTCAATTTCCTCTTAGCTGGTTGTTTTACATTGAATGTGTCAACTTGCCTGTTCAAAGCTATTGCTGGATGGGGTGATTTTCTCACTAAATACAAAAGCAAAAATCATAGTGTAAGAGTGGAACTACTAATATAACTCTAGATTATTTACTTATTTAATCATATCCATATAACTGATCATCTCACAAATGTTATCTTCACCTTTTCATCTGCTGTCCATCTTAACTTTTTACCAAAGAGACTACTCTTAATAAGATGAAATTGTGTTTTAATAAAACCAAATAGGCTTTAAATAAAAGAACAAATCCATTCTGATATTTATATTTTATTTTAGAGTTGAGGCAGGGGAAAACAACAATGATGTCTGTTAATCCAGGTGTTGTATTTTAGCTTTTTTAACCAGAGCTGGAACAATGGAATTAGATCCTTTTTGTGTTATCTGGCTACAGGTAGTCCTCGGCTTACAATAGTTCATTTAGTACAACAGCACGAAAAAAGTGATTTACAGCCATTTTTCACTTTTGTACCATCCCCATGATGATACAATTTTGATCATGTGATCAAAATTCAGGTGCTTGGAAACTGGTTCATACTTATGACCGTGGCAGCATCCCAAGATCATGTGATCTCATTTTGCGACCTCTTGACAAGCAAAGTCAATGGGCAAGCTGGATTCACTTAACAATTGGGTTACTAACTTATCAACTGCAGTGATTCACTTAAGTGTGGCAAGAAAAGTTGTAGAATGGGGCAAAACTCATGTAACAAATGTTTCACTTAACAACAAATTTGGGGCTCAATTGTGGTCATCTACCTGTATTAATATGGATCCTTGAAGAGATTTAAAAACAGGATTTTGAAGTACAAGTCTCTAGATCTCACACTTACTGGTTACTAAATTGCCCGTTTCATCCCTCCTCTATGTTTATCCTTTAAATCTGTCTATCTGCAACATCAGACATGAAACTTTGGGTGATACAAATCCTAGGGCTCTGCTCAAAGATCCAATGTTGAACACTCATATTTTTCCACCCCATTCTACTAACCTCACAAAATATTGGATATCAGAAAATACAACATAACCTAAAACAAAGATATGCAAATGGTAACCAGGTTATTTGTAGAACCACCTGTCTCTCTCATTTGTGCTTGTGAACAGGTTATGTTTTAGGTCCCTTTGTCACCTGGCTGAATCAAAGAAACATGTCTTTTTTATGCAGTATCTGCATCTTGGATTGATTTCTGTGTCCTTCCCTCCCCCTCCCCCCGGAAAAAAAAAACCTTCAAGATTTGATTAACCCCAAACCCGCCCGCTTTTTAAAAAACACTAAAAATCTTGTCCCCCCCCCCCCCTCCGGATATTTGGGATGTTAAATGTACCCATCTCAGAAGGCTGGCAATAGGAAGTATTATTTGTTCTTATTGATATTACTGTTGATTATTTTAGGTTAGCCACCCAGATTTGGTTTGGCAAGCTTGGGTAGTCATATAAATAAATGGAGAAGGGGAATCAACAGCCCCCAGGTCCGGAGGTGGTTGATGAAGAAGAGGAGGAACACTGGGTCTAGTGCCTGACGTGCGGCTGCACAAAAGGCAGAAAAGGGGCGAGCAGTGGAAAGCCCTGGCCGATCCTGGGGAAGGAAGAACCATCTCTGCTAGCAAGGCCCCACCTAATTCTGGGGATAAAAAGCAGGGGGCGGAGATGAGTAAGTGTGGCAGACAACTATTCATCTTCCGGCTGGCTGGACTTGTTATTCTGCAAAAGAAACTTTTTGCCGGGACTTCTGGCATTCCTAATAAAAGAATCTTTTGAGTTCACATCAGAGGGTTTGTTGTGTTTGGGAAGCTGGGTCAGAACAATTTTAGTCACCTTGCAGTTATTGACACAGCTACATTCCATGTTTGACATACGCAAAATATAAGGGACATTTGTCTATGGAGATTCTCAGTCATCCAGGTCATGGTTGTCCCAAAGGTGCTTTTTCAAGAGGCAACTAGACTTTCTGGTTAAAGAAAGTCTAGTTGCCTCTTGCAAAAGCACCTTTGGGATCATGGACATTTGTGAAAATGGCCTTTTAAAAAAATAGCCTTCCACTGTGATTATGGGAATTACCTTCAAATTCCGTTAGTGGTACAGCACATCTCTTCGCCCTCACATTGAAAACTGAACCTAACAACTGTGAGCCAAAATATGTTCCATGATCTGATTTGGCAGCTGTGGAAATTCCAAAATAAAACATCACAGGACAACTTTTCCAATAACTTTTCCAATTAGATCAGTACAATATTTCTCAACTTCAACATTTAAGATATTTAAAACAATTAGTCCCCTTTAATAATTTAAACAAAGTAATTAAAAGATGAACAGCGGTAGATGCAAGCATTTTGTATTGACTAGTCAGTACAAACTTACAATAGCATAGTTAAAATCGGCATAAAATAGAGATCTAGCGAGAATATTAATTAAATGTATAAAGTGTGTGAGGAACCAACCAATGATAAACCTTACACCCATGGAAGGTGTAGATTGACACACCGCTGTTAATGCATGCACAAAGGATTCAATTGATTGATGGAAACTGCTTCAGCAACCTATAGAAAATGAGAGTTCCAGCAAATCATGGCCATAAGATGCCTTCTTTGGTTATCACGATTCATATACTAGCTAAGGGTCACCAAGTCGATCCAAACATCACGTTCTAAGTTTTATTGTGCCACAGGAACTCTCATTTTCTGCAGTTTGCTGAAGCAGTTGCCATCAATCGATTGAAGCCTCCTTTGCGTGTTCAGAAACAGCTGTATCAATCTATGCCTTCTGAGGGTGTAAGGTTTGTCATTGGTTGGTTCCTCACACACGATATATGTTTAATTAATGTTCTTGCTAGACCCTCTATTTTATGCCGCTTTTAACCATGTTATTCTAAATTTGGAACTGATGGATCAGTACGAAATGCTTGCATCTACCACTCACTGTCCATCTTTTAATTGTACTGTTTAAAATTCATGGACTTTTACTCACAGAATTCCCCAGCTAAGTGAAGTCCATATATTTTAAAATTGACAAGGTTGAAACGCCCTCACTAAAAATTGTTTCAATCAGTCACTAAATGACAGGTTTCTAGAGCTCCTTATTATTAACAATAAAACTGCCTGTTTCATTCCTCCCGCCATGTCACAATACTTTACATTTTGTTACCTGCAGCTTCAAAAATAAGACTTTCAGAGGCCCAAATGTTAGGCATTGTCTTAAAGGACCAATTTTGGATTCCCAACAGTTGTTTTCATCTCAATTCTGCCAGCCTCACAAAAATGAGTGATTGCAGCAAAACTGAAAACATTACACAAATAATATTTTACAAGTATTTATTGTATTTATTAATATGAGCAAATGCACTCCATGTTTGATCTTCATACAGAATGTAAAGAAAATTAATGAGAATAGTATTTCATTTGCTTGTACAATGACTGACAGGAATTACCTTTCTGGTTTTGATACATACTTGCCCCTAGATATTCACCTGAACTGCATTTATTTTTACGTGATGATCCCACTTTCAGTTGGAGCGCTACTGGCGATGCAGATGTGAAAACTGCAGCTGTTCCAAAGTAAAACAGAACATAGGAAAATGTTTTGCAATAGCAACTATAATAAGACAAGATTAATTTTTCCTTCTCTTCGTGTCCTATTCCCCCATGAGCGCTGTATGGTCTAGAATAGATCATATAGATGAGTATTTCTCAACTGTGACAACTTTTAAGATGCATGGGCTTCAAGTTTATATAATTCCCTAGTGAGGTTAAGTCCACACATCTTAAGGTTGCCATAGTTAAGAAATGTAAGCCTAAATTCCAGCAGATGCAGAGTGAATGAGATAGCAAGTCTGAGCTGGAATATGATTGGCAACCTGAATTATCTTTTTAAATAGCCAGAAAGTAGGAGATGTGAGTTCTAGTCCTGTCACAAAGTCAGCTGGGTGAACTGGAGCCCACCCCTTTCTCTTAATTCTGAGAGGAAGGCAATAGCAAACCACTTTTGAAACTTTGACAAGTAAACTTGTTGAGGCAGTCACCAGGTATCAATACTGATTTGAAGGCACAAGTACACACACATACTTCTTAGAATAACCCCAGTCTGTAGTTTCAAAACCTGGGAAAATAGTGACTATCTGCAGCTTTATGCAGCTTCATTCACAGTGCATCGTTGTCCAATTCTTTACTAACATTAAACATTAAGTGTGACCCCCAAACTACTAAAAAGCTGCTCTCCCATCCCTATAAGGATAATAACTTTCTCAAGAAAGATTTGCAGCTGCCTATAAGGAGAAGTCAGAAAAATGCCTGGAATGGTTTCTTCTCTGAAGGAAAGAGGGAATAGCCTAATACAGAAATCATTACTTTATTTATTCTTTTAGATTGTACAATCAACGATTCCTATTCAGATATTAAACATCCAACAACCTGACAGCTCAGGGAGAAGGTAAAAAACTAGCAATCCAGCTAGGTCATTACAAAAATATGGTATGTTGACAATACCTGGCAATCAATACGAGTGGATACCTGCCACTTGCTCTGCCAACTAATGGAAAGCTAAAATCCAGGGAGCACTGGGCTTTTTAACAGAAGCTCCACCAGGCAAGACTTCAGACTATCTGGAGAAGCTCAGCTGCAAATCGGACCCCCAGTTGATTCAATGGCCACTCAAGGTCTGGGACTGATCCTCCACCTTTTGCTCCCAACTCACCTGGAAGGGGGACATCTCGGCGGAGGAGAGGTCCTTGAACCGGCTTGCCCAGCTCCGTGTTCACACCCACATAGGCTGTCTGGGAACACACCACCCCAGAGCTCAGGCTTGTCTCTAGCGCCAGAAGCCGCTTTTCCTCCACCGTCTCCTTGTCCTCTTCTAATTCCTGCAACAGCGCCTGAGCTGCAAGACGGTGAACAGGGAGCCTGCACAGAAAGGGCAGGGATGGGTAGAGAAAGGGTTGACATTACATCACACACCAAGCCTTAATTGATTGTCAGTTCCTTCTATATCAGGTTTTTCTGCCCAGAGGGTCAGCTGACAGTAAATACAGGAAAAAATTAATAGCGACTAACTGCTTGTTTTGCATTTTAACTCATGAAGCTGAAAAATCTAGGCTAAAAAGACCTCTCCTTGTTCAGTCTCTTCTCTGAAAAGAAAAAAAGCAGAGCCTGAATGTATCCCTTGGGGAACACTTCTATAGCCTGGAAGTAATATGAAATAACACGTTTTATTTTGCATTGACTTGAGCTGTTGGTCTTTAGTTAATGTCTTGTTAACTATATTTTCATTCTGAAAACTGACAGAACCATTATGAAACCAGCCAAATCTCTTGGCTGAAGGATATGAATCCAGAGGGCAAGAGATGACACACACATCTGAGCAATAAACTTGATTAAGGTGGTGGCTTCCTACTTTCATTTGGCATTAACATACAAAGGACATATTATCTCCAAGAAGAAATGACTGTGCTGGGTGAAAAGCACCTCTCTTTGAATCAACAAAACAGCTTCATCTTTTTCTTGGTTCATAAGCTGCTCCTGGTCGCATCATGTATGAAGAGATAGCTAGGAGCAGCTCATGAAGAAACTCTGTGAATCTGAAAAAAGAGGCATCTGCTTCAGGATTCAGATAAATGATTTGAATGTGCTCCCACTAACACACTCATGTGCCTCTTTTAAAGGGTTTGTTCAGACTTGGGTTCCACCTTGAAGGAAAAGTTCTGGGCTCTACCTGTCTGTCTTCTCAAGTTGGAGTGAGAACTTTGTTGTTTCTGTGGGACTCTCATTTTGGAAATTATACCGAACAATGGCTGTCCCCTCCATGGAGCCTGTCATCTGCATAAAAACAAAAGGAAGGGGAAAAGAAGGAAAATTCTTTCTGAGAACCAGGATGTTTTGGAATTAGAGCTGCCAAGGAAGGGCCACTGAAATACCCTTAGCTGAGCCAGCACAAGTCATAGTCCACACCACAGGAGGGAGGATTGCTCAAGTTGGTGGGCCTCAGGTGGATCACTTGCCTGAAGTTGGCCCTGGATCTGGGCATAGATGAGGCAGCGCTGACCTTGGAAAATGACCTGAGGGCCTGACCCCACAAGTTTGGCTTCAAGGCCAGATGGCAGTTCCCAGTTCAGAGAGATCCCTGATACTGCTGGCTGAAGGGCTTTCTTCAGACTTTGCAAAGCCTGCAGGAAACAGGAATTTTACAAAGAAGCAGTATAAGATTTCAGCATCCTCTGAGAAATAAAATACAAAATTTATTCTTAAAATATTACGGTTGTCACTGCTCTAGCTTTGAGGTTACGGAACAGCATCTGCAAAAACAATCAACATTTCAGCTGCACATAGATGTTCTCTTCTGCTCCCACTCCACATGACACAGCAAGTCCTCTGGACTGTGACTGGTAATAATAGTAGCAAAACAAAACAACTTGATTGAAAACTAAATATAAACTGTAGCTTTTGGCTGCAAAGGAGGCAACCCTAACCCTAACTAAACTTATAAGTTGAAGATTACCTGTAATAATTTTATTATTAATCCCCAAGCTCCAAATAATAAGGAGACAAGGATCTATATCTACTACCCCAAAACTTGTGCCTCATGTAGAACATATATTATAAACCAAAACAAACAATTGGTTTTCAACTAGTTCTTGTTAGCATTAAAGAACTGAATCCATATAATTTCTAATGCCCCCTACCTTATCTCAAAGGTATTAAACTACTGCAGCTGAAATATTAAAAACTTATAATTAAGTGGCAGCCAAAAAGATGGTAAATCCTGGAACTACAGTATATATCAATGACATGCAGCAAAGCTAAAACCCTTTAAGAGGAAGAGACCTCACCTTGGCCTGCATGCGTTCCTTGCCAGTAATGAATTCAGCACTGCCTCCAGCAGCTCGAGCAATGCCTTTGACCAGGGATGTGGAAGCCCCTTCCCCAATTCCAAAGGAGAAGCACCTGTTTGGTGAAGAAGTAAGAAGCTGATGGAAACCAAGCAACAAAAACATTAAGAAAAAAATTGCATCCTTTCTTCTTACCTGTTCCGTGAGCACTGTGCACTAGAATTGGACATGACTGACAGGGAAACCTTTACCTTTTCTTACCTATGGAAGTGACTGTTACGTCGAACTTCAGCAATGACCTCATTTGTATTGAACACTTCTCCATCAGTGAACACAAAGATCTGTGGAGATAGAGAATAACTTGGAAGTGAAAATTGTATAGGAAAGGAAGAAGAAGATTGGAAACAAGAAGAAATTTAATTTGAACTTTCTATGGCTTGTCAAATAGACAACAGGACTGGAATGAAGCCAAGGATTTGCTTAACAATTCAACATTCCAAAAACTGGTTTGGTTCTAGAAATGGTGACCTGCTCATATATAGTCACTGTTTCTGTTCTACCAATGTTGGTGAGTATGTTGACTTGCGAAGTAGTCTCTAGATTAGAAATTTTAACCTGATAAAAATAATACAAGCAAATTTGGAGTGAAATTCATATTGGTTTTCTTGGTGGAACATTGACCAAAATATACTCAAAGTTATTAGTAGTATTTACCATTAATAAAGAATGCTGCATGTAGTATTGGTATAACTGAGACTGGTAACCTAGTTCAGTGGCCTCCAACTTTTGTGGCTCGGCTGGTGGTGAAGATGGGAACTGGTCCACATGAGTGGTGGGCTGGTGTGTGTGTGTATGTGTGTACGTGCGTGCGTGCAGCTCTACTTACAAGAGAGAAAAGTTTTGGGGGCATTGTTTTGAGCTCCTTCATGCTTTTCTGCACCGAAAGCTTTTGCAAAGGGGCAGAAGGCTTGAATCTGTGTGAGATCACTCCCCCAAATCCTTTTGTTCGTTTGCAAAAGCTTTTGGCACGGAGAAGAGAAGCCTTTGGGGGCACAGTCTCATGCTTCTTCAGACTCACTGGGGCTGCCCAATCCTGCAAAAGCAGATCAGGTGTCCTGTGCAGGCAGCTCACTCAATCAGAAAAGCCAAGCAAGGCACTCTTATCCCACTCAGCCTCTTCTTTCACAGCTCCACTTTTGGAGCAGGCGGCTGGTGGCCTGGTGTAGGGAGAGAGGGGCACTGGGCCATGTGAATGGTGGATGCACATGCACACTCATGCAAGAGAGGTCTTTGTGGGGCTGCTCATGTGAATGGATCTGTGTGCACTCACCAGCCCACCTATCAGGCGGTCTGGTTCTGAATAGGCCACGGCCCAGTAGTGAACCGCCACCTGCAGGTTGGGGATTCCTGACCAATATTTTCCCTATCTTATTAAAAGTGGCATGTGAAGACTTTAATGATCTAATGCCATGATGGCTTTGGAGGTCAATATTTATGGGCCCACCAGGTGATAATCATTACATTTGGAAGAATATAAGAGTATGAAACGTATAGAATGCAGATTAAGGGAATAAATGGAAGAAAAACAGAAATGTACCTGTGAAATTAAGAACAAGAGAAAGATGTAATAGATCTAAATGAAGGTCTTGTAGAATAGCATTGCTATATATACAGAAAAGAATGTGAGCATTTAGTTATGGATGAAAGGTCTCAACAGTATGGTAGAAAATACAAATTGGTATAAACTAAAACTATTTGGTTGCAAGCCAAAAAAGACTATGCAAGCCATACACGACTATGTTTGTAACACTTATAGCATATAATAAAATTTAAAGCTTGTTCTAGCTTATTGTTAAAGCTTATTGGTAGTTACAGGCATTATTATGTGCTTTTCTATAAATCTTTTTGTGCTCGTGTATAAATCCTGATTCTATCTAAAAAGAAAGATCTTATTAGAACTGAATACCTGTCGAGGATGTCCTTCAAAGCATGGCTGGCTGTAAATAGCCTTCAGGGGTTTTACAATCTCTGTACCTCCCAAGTCACAATGCAACTCCTTCACACGTTGGACAGATGTATCCATAGTTTCCTGGGTATACTTAACACTCTGCCTGCGGAGGGTGCAAGAGAGTGAAAGCTATTACTAAGCTAAACCAAGTTCTATGATAAAGCTTTCAGATGATTTTCAAGTTAAGAAAAGAAAGTGCCACATGCAAGACACATCACTGTGTAATATTTTTTTTCTTCTACTCTTAATTTCAGGACTTTGGAGCTTCTTCTATTTTAAACCTGTATTTGTGTTAAAAGCCAATTATTCATTTGATTCTTTCCAACTATATTTTACATAACAAGGAGGAGCTGGAGAAACCAAGAAATAAAAAGATGGAAAAAGGGCATCTTTTAATACTCACGGGTAAAATGAATCATAAGTAGAGCCAAAACCATAGATGTTGAAGTAACATCCCAGAGGGAGACTCTTTAGCAAGAAAATCAAGGTCTCCTGAAATGGAACGGGGAGAGAAACATCCAGAGTCACTTTAGATACTTCGGCACATCTTTTCAGATTCAGATTGGCAGTTTCCATATTCATCATCTCTACTTTTCTGAGGTCCTCCCTTTGCAAGGTCAACTGTTGTGTTTGGATGTAGGTTAAAGAGACTTGGGCTTCAATTATCATCCCAGCTCTCACTTTGTGACCTTCCCTAGATACTAAATCCACTGTACTTCACATAGTTGTTTTTACAGGTCAGAGGGAAAGGACCTTGTACAGCACCTTGAAAGATTAAGCACCTTAAAAGATTTGAGGAAATTCTACACAGACAATACATGCAGCCTATAAATATTGTAGACCAGCCTTTTCTTCACCACAGACCCCGTTTAAATACCTTTTGTGGCCATAAACCATGGCCATGGACCACCCCCCAGACTTAACTCATGATTTAAATCACGATATTTCTTCAAGCTTTCATGGACCCCCCTATGATGACATAGCAGCCCCACAGGACTCCAGGTTGCAAACCACTGTTCTAGACCACTTTTCATTCTCCATTCTTTAACAATCGAACTGATTCACCCACTCATCCACCTTTAAAGTACCTTAGCACTCTCGATGCGTGATTGTGAGCCCGAACTGTAACCAATGAGGGTACCCATGCTGCCAGAGCGATCCAGCAGGAAGATAAACTCTCCAGGAACACACTGACCTGCTTTGGCAGCTGGAATGTTTGGGTACAGGCTTAGCAGGAGGGCTGGGTCTCCCATCAGTGAACCTATATTTGCAGGAAGAAAGCAATCAATAGGTCTTTTCAAACGAGGTCCAGGCAGAAGAAGAACATCATGGCTTCAAAACCTATGGGATTGGTTTGGACACTTAACTCAACAGCACTTTTTCATGAGGCTGTTGATAAAAGCAGGATCGCCAACATGATTGCCAACATCCGATGATGGATATGGCACAAGGAGGAGGAGGCATTTTCACTCAAGGCAGAACCCTTCCAATTCTTAGGACTTCTACTTCAGTCACAAGATAGCTTATGCCAAAGATAAAGAACCTGTGTTCCTCCATATGTTGCTGAGTTGCATGTCTCAGCATCCTTCACTGGTAGGCCTAGTTCTCAGAGGTATTGCTGAGAACTGTAGCACAGAGGCATAAATTCCCACCTCTGCCTTCAGCTTTGCTTACCTGGGGTAGCTCCAGATTTCCCAGCCTCTAAAATGGTACTGGTCTTGTGCACATCTTCATAATATATCAGCAGTTCCACATCACGGTCAAATTGGTGCCCTTTAGCCAAGGAGACCTTTAGGAAGATAAGTGAAATCAAAGTGCTTGCAGGTTGTAGTTCTAACATTGTGGTAGACCCCAGGCCATTAATTCTTGTGGCAAATGCTATGCTAAGTAGCTAAAACAAGGAAGTTGCTTAAAATTTTGTTATGTAAACACTGCCTTGGCTTAAGTCTTCCATTATCATTTTTAACTGTGATAGGAACACTGATAGGAGCAGTTCATCCAGATACCTAGCCATTTGGCCCATTCTAAGAGGACTTTCAGAAGATTTGTTTAGCCTTGCAAGCTCATCTACCCTTTGTCAGAATGCCACGCTTTTTTGCGAATAATGGGACTGGTAGCATAACATATCTGAAGACTACCTGATTGGAGAACAGGCAACTGGGAATCTTTTGGCCAGCACAATCAGTCCTTAGAACCCTAAATAATATCATCAGGGCAAGTGAGTGGGGGTTGGTTCATTATTTCTAATTATTATTTCTAATAATGATTATTTCTAATAATTATTTGGGAAATCATGTACAGGTAACCCTTGACTTACAACCACAATTATCACATAATCTCAGTCATTGAACGAGACCCCATATGACTGCTTTGCTCAACAGCTAGAATCTCAGCAGAGACAGACACTTGTGTGCAGCTTGTGCTGGACCTGCCTCTTCACTCCTTTTATCAAACTGCTTCTCTGCTCAGGAGCTGAAAGTCTTCTTTGCCAAACTCCAAGCAGGATTTTCAGTCCCTGAACAAAGACATTTGTGCAAGGCCTGTGCTGGGCTTGTCCCATCCATCAGGCACCTCACACTCCTTGGCTTACCACGCAGTCTCTCCATTTAGATTTTGGTGCCCTCTTGTCTTTGGTGGCTGACTGAAAGACCTGTCTGCCAAAGGAGTTCAGCTCCCCTCAATGCACAAAAGGGAAATCTTTTGATTAGGTGCAAGAATGCGGCTCTTTCAGCCAGCATCTATAGACAAGAGGGAGCCCTTTCACAGCAGATGCAGCAGCTTACAACTACCAACTTTCTGGGAAAGCCAGTAGAAAAGATTTGCAATGACGATTACATGATTGAGAGGTGCTTGGCAACTGATTGTAAGGTTGCCAGGCACCCAGACAGTGTTATTATGACTGTCGGGGTTTTGCAGTGGTCTTTAGGAAAGGATGCTTTATGGATGTAAAGCATCCTTTCCTAAGCTATTGTAATTCTACACCATCATTAAATAAATGAGCAGATGTTAAGACAAGCATTACTCGTAGCTCTTACTTCACAGCAGACTAAAACTTTTCAGCAGTTCTAAAAGGAACTACATCTGGCAACTCCTATGCATTTAGAGCCTATTCCAGTGGTGGTTAACCTTTTCGGCACTAAGTGCCGAAATGGGAGAACCCCCACCCCCACCCCCGAAAGGCATCAAGTGCTGAAATGTGCACACATGTGCCAGAAATCAGAATAGCTGTTCCCTGCATGCACATACACACTGGTCATCTGGTCTTCCGGCTTCTAATGTGCATGCGCATGTGAAAACCAGCTGGCCAGCCAGTTTCTATCACACATTTGCGCACCAGTCAGCTGTTCTTTGTGCATGCATGTGTATTAGAAACTGGAAGATCAGGTGGCCAGCATGCATATGCACGTTGGGAGCTGCTCTTCTGGTTACTGGCGCTCCCGCTTGCGCAAAGTCCAGATGGCTGGTAAGCGCTGGAACCTGGAAGAGCAATGGGCGACAGCTAGCATGCCCAGAGAGATGGCCCTGCGTGCCACTTCTGGCACATGTGCCATAGGTTAGCTATCATGGGCCTGTTCTATTGGGGCAGCAGCACCACTGCTTTTCAGCATCAGTCTTAATCCCACATCCTGTTTTTGTTTTTTCTTCTAAAAGGCAGTTCAAATGATGTGAAAAATCCTGTATTTCATTTTGTTGTTGGCTTCATACAAACTATTGATGTGGTGTAGGAAGTGTGCACATGCTGAAAAATTACTTTTTATCCAAAGTTTCTCCCAATCCAACTCTTTAGGTCCTGGGCAGCCTTACCTGGGCAGCAGTGCGATCCTCTGACATATTTTGTATAAGACTGCATTTTGAATCCACCCGGTTGATGCCATAGGGGGACTCCACCTTGGCACTGAGGGTGAGAGCATAAGGTAGAGCTTCTGTGGACACTCGTGGTATCTGCTGGGAAACGGTGCCCCCTTCTGAGCCTGATAAGAGAAAACGTATGTGAGGTTCTGCCTATACAAAGTGGGGAGGCTCTTTGAGGATTCGCAGGGATAGCTGCCTGAATCTGGGGCAAGCATACCATCCAAAATAGGAAAGAGGCACTGTGGTGCTAGGATTATTACGTTAGACCAAGGGTATCAAACACAAGGCCCACAGGCCGGATCCAGCTTGTCCTGGAAAATGTAAGAGGCCGGCCTGTTTTGCTTTGGTCCAGTATACCCAATGCGAAAAGGAAACATTGGGCCAGCGTGGCTTTGGCCTGGTCTACCCAGTGTGAAGAGGAAACGTGACAGCAGTTTGGGGAGTGGCATCAAGCTGGCCACACCCACCCAGCTGGCCATGCCTCCCTGAGGTCAACCATAGCCCTGATGCGGCCCTTAATGAAATTGAGTTTAATACCCCTGCTTTAGACCAAGACACCTCAGGTTCAAAACTCTGTATGGTTACAATCTTCACTCTGGTTTTTTATTCCAGCAGATACTTTACTTGGACCCCAAAGCTACGCAGAGAGGGATATGCTTACTATTTGGCTACTACAGAAGAAACCAATTACTCCTGCGAAGAAAAGGAGGTGTCCACAAAACCATAAAGAATCCTGCTCAAATTGGAGGTCATGTTATCTTGTCCTAAGCCCCCAGCCTGCAAACCAACCTACTTCATGAAGATGGTGTTAGAAGAAAATAGGAAGGGAAGAAAATCACTTTATATCAGTATTTCTTTTCAATTTGGAAAGAAAAATAATGGGATGTGATAGCTGAAGGTCTTCAAGACCTTTACATCTTCTTCTACTCATCTGGAGGACACCATCTTGCAAAAGTCTGGTTTAGTAGCTGCACATCGTTTTGAGCTCTACCCATTAAAGAAAATGGTAAAATTAAATGGAAAAGATCAGTGGCAGCATGCATCTTTCTCAAGCTTCTTACTTCAATAGTTTATTGTTTTAATGGCAAACCACAGCTGTGTTTGCACATTGTGACTGAAACACTATTAGCTGCACATCCCCAAAGAATGTATACAACATGTCGACATTTTGCCTTCATATCTTGTATGAATCTAGCCACAGCTGTTGGTTTTTAGGATGAAACTGAGTTAATTATCCCAGTGCCTGACAACATTGAGCAGGGAGGGCAGTGAAGGGATCTATTAGAGGCTTTGTTTTGGGGACTCCATGCTGTACTTGGGAATATAGTTAGTTACCTTCAGGAACATAGCGGGGGTTCAAGACAGCTGGCAGGACAAAACGGACGGCATCATCTGGTTCCACTGCTAGTGCTTGAACGTAGCGCAGTTTAAGTGTGGCTTCCCCACCAGGAGGAAGATTGCCCAGGTTGCACATGAAAATGTCACTGGTATTTTCTTCTCTCCCAAGCAGGAAAGCCTGGTGGCCTTCACTCAGGGCATCATCATATTCTTGCTCTGCCTGGGTTGAAGAAGAGGGAGAAAGAAGCAAGAACAGGACAAGTGATTAAAGTAGTCACAAATAAAATACCTCTGAGGGTTTAAAAAAAAAAATCCCAGGCAGCAATGGCAATTCACTTTCATAATGTTGGCAAGATTACATGCACCTAATTCTCAGACAAGGAGTTTAGTAACCTTTCCAGATAGTCTTCCTTTCAAATAAAAAACACATTCACAGGTGTGCGCAGTTACACTATTCCTATCATCACTTAATTTTTCACTATGGTAGAGGAACAAATGTCATCAAGAAAATATATAAAACCTGAAAGAAATGTATTTAAACTGGTGTAGCATAGTTTATTTATTTATTTATTTATTTGGTTTGTCAATTGCTTACAAGATAATAGGTATAAGTAAAAACATAGTTATGAATACATGGATACATATAAGAAAAAAAAAAGAAACAATAGGACAGGGATGGTAGGCACATTGGTGTGCTTATGCACGCCCCCTACAGACCTCTTAGGAAAGGGGTGAGGTCAATAGTAGAAAGTCTAAAGTAAAAATTTTGGGGGTTTGGGGAAGAAACCACAGAGTCAGGTAGAGTATTCCAGACATTGACCACTCTGTTGCTGAAGTGATATTTCCTGCAATCAAGTTTGGTGCGATTAACCTTGAGTTTGTATCTACTGTTTGCTCTTGTGTTGTTATGGCTGAAGCTGAAGTATTCATTGACAGGTAGGACATTGCCATGTATGATTTTATATACTATACTTAGATCGGACCGAAGGCGTCATAGTTCTAAGTTTTCTAGGTCTAGAATTTCAAGTCTGGTGGCATAAGGTATTCTGCAATGAGTAGAGGAGTGGAGAACTCTTCTTGTGAAATATTTCTGGACTTTCTCAACTGTGTTAATATCAGATATGTAATGTGGGTTCCAGACTGATGAGCTGTATTCGAGTATTGGTCTAGCAAATGTTTTGTATGCTCTAGTTAGTAGTGTAATATTACCAGAGAAAAAGCAACGTAAGATTAGGTTAACAACTCTTAATGCCTTTTTGGCTATGTAGTTACAGTGGGTTCTAGCACTTAGATCATTAGAGATGAGTACTCCAAGATCCTTGACAGAGTTTGGATCATCAACAAGGTCTTGACTATTCAGCTTGTATTTTATTTTCTGATCTTTTTTTTGCCAATATATAAGACAGAACATTTATTTGTTGAGATTTGAAGTTGCCATTTGTTTGACCATTCTGAGACATAGTCGAGGTCTTTTTGAAGGGTAGCAATAGTGTCTGTGGAGCTGAATAGCTTTACATCATCAGTGAAGAGAATGCAGTTGCTCTTAATATGATCACAGAGGTCATTTATATAGAGTATGAAGAGAGTTGGTCCTAGAACACTGCCTTGGGGGACACCACTGTTGACATGTACAGAATTTGACAGGACGCTCCCAATTTTGACCATTTGTCGTCTGTTTGAGAAGAATGCTTCTATCCAGTTATGCAGGGGTCCAGAGATACCATAAGATTTTAGTTGATTATGACCTGTAGCTGGGTGCAACAGTATAATCTCTTATGCCTTCCCAAAGCTAGACCCTTGCAAAATGAAATGTTTTATTACTTTGTACCTGCTTCTTCTCTCGGATCTGGGCCTCAATCCGTTTCCCATCTATCAGACCTTCAAAGGCATAAACTGCAGCTTCATCATCCAGAGGGAAGACAAAAGTGGCCTCCACTGGATTCTTTTCCTCATTCTGGTACTGGAGTTCCGATACGACGTCAGCCACGAAACCTCGTATAATGACATCCACTGAAATGCTTTTCAAAGGCACTGGGGTGTGGAAATAACAAAGAGGATAGTTAACTCAGTATCTGGCCTGGCCCAGAGCAGAAAACCGTCTGCTAAGAGTTAACTGCTGAAAGTGCTGGCAAAATATTTTTTGTAGGTGTTATGCCCCTATCCCAAGATCTGTAACCCCCAAATCATTATTAACATATGGGATTTATATGGCAACCCATCTTACATGTGCAAACCCTGGGCACCATACATAATTAAAAAAATGAACAATCACAAAATCTAATAATCAAAACCAATTAAAAATGCAAAAACCATAGTAACAAAAAGGCAAGGGGAACACCTTCTAAACTTATATACAATGCAACCAATTGGGGCTCTACAATTGCATGGGATTCAGAAGCTTGATGCATATACAGGTTTTGAGGGCCTTTTTTGAGGGCCCAGCAGGATGGAACTAGCTTCACCTCAGGGGAAATTTGTTCCAAAGGATGGATGCCGTAATAGAAAAGCTCTCTTCTTAGATCTGTAAATTGCTTAGAGAGGCCTGTAAAGCACTGTATATAAGTTTAAGTTTTATTGCTATCCCACTAAGGGGGGCATGACATGATTTTAATTTGTTAACTAACATAATTACTTTGTATTTTAATTTAACTTATTTTTCTCTCTTTTAAAATGGCATTAAGGCTCATTACATTGGGACACAGTGGCTCAGCTAAGATGCTGAGCTTGTCAATTAGAAAGGTCGGCAGTTCGAATCCCTAGCACCACATAACGGAGTGAGCTCCTGTTACTTGTCTCAGCTTCTGCCGGACGAGCAGTTTGAAAGCATGTAAAAATGCAAGTAGAAAAATAGGGACCACTTTGGTGAGAAGGTAACAGTGTTCCATATGCCTTCAGCATTTAGTCACGCTGGCCACATGGCCACAGGGATGTCTTCAAACAACGCTGGCTCTTCGGAGATGAGCACCGCCCCTAAACCCAGAAATGATTAGCGTGGGGAACCTTTACCTTTTAAGGCTCATTACAGGCTGGAATGTAGGAGATGTTTTTACTCGGTTGCTGTATGTATTGATTGATAGCTTTTAACTTCCTAAACTGAAAAGATAAACTATAGAAGGGAGGGCTGGAGATTATCTCCCAAAGAAAAAGTTTGTTAGTGCTAATTCTGGTTTGTCTGTTTGTGAACTCCAAACAGCCTTTTCCTTGCTAACATCTTAAATTTTATGCCTCTTCTGACATCAGATCTCATTTAAATGGACATACATGTAGCATGTTTGACTTTATGTAGTTGATTTAAAAGGGGTTACTTTTAACCTGTTCTATCAACTTTTCCTCTTGCATTGTCTTTGTTGTGTTAGCTATAAAATGGAATGTAAAATAAGGATCTGTTTTCCCTCTTTGAGAAGAATGCCTTTTGTCTGCATATTCTGATAAATTGTCATTAAATGATCTTTCTGTCTCAGTCTATCTCATTGTAAAATAGGCCTACTGAGGCATGAGCCTAAAAGAAAAAAAGCCATATTTGGCCTTCGTTGCTAAATAAAGTTCATTGGCTGATTGGACCCACAGCATATCTGCCAGATATAATAGAATAGATAAATGGAATTAGGGAGAGGCAGTCCCTCAAATAACCCAATCCTGTGCCGTGTAAGGTTTGAAAAGTTATACAGGTAGTCCTTGACTTACAACAGTTCATTCAGTGACTGTTCAAAGTTACAATGGCACCGAAAAAAGTGACTCAGTCATCACCCCTTTCAGTTACAACCTTTGAAGCATCTCTATGGTCACGTGATCAGAATTCGGAGGCTTGACAATGAGTTCACTTTTATGACAGTTGCAGTATCCTGGGGTCATGTGATCTCCTTTTTTGATCTTCTGACAAGCAAAGTTATTGGAGAAGCCAGATTCACTGCGTTACTAACTTATCAACTGCAGTGATTCACTTAACAACTGGGGCAAGGCAGGTCGTAGAATGGGACAAAACTCACTTAACAAATGCCTCAACAACAGAAATTTTGGGCTCAATTGTGATCATAAGTTGAGGACTACCTGTAATTAGCATCTTGAACTGGATCAGGAAGCAAACTGGCAACCAAAGCAGCTTACAGAGCAGAGGTGCAATTTGTGCAGGTCTTGGTGCACACAAAGCTGTCTACCTTGTTGTATTTTACACTACTAAAACATCCAGATATTCTTCAAGGGCAGAGTATACAAATGATCCTCAAAGCTATACAATTAAAATCATAAGCTGAAAGACATCATAGCTTCCTTTTAAAGTCATATGCAACTTGCCATTTTACTCAACATTAACCGGCAATCAGATACTCAATTTACCTGGCTCTTTAAAGGATGTGAGAAGGCCACATCGATGCATAACTAATGCTCTATGGAGAAGAAACAAGGCACGCCAACTGTGGAAGACAAAAAAATTACCTTTATATATAAGAGATAACAGCAAATGGAAAAAACTCAAGCCAGATATTCTTTCTATAATGTAATTTTGTATTGTCACCCTATAAGGTAGATAAGACAGATCACAAAAATGACTTCACTGAAAGTCTAGAATACATTTTAATGCAGATCCTTCTCCATTTGTTGTCTTAACAGCTTCTAGATGGCTTCTCCGTAGTCATATCTGTGGCTCCCTATACATTTCAAGGTAAGAGACAAAGACATTTCCCAAATATTTAATATACCAATCTAAGTTAAAGCTAAGAATTGTACGGTTCCAGAGCTTGTTTGATTCCCATAAACCCATGCCAACATCACTAATTATCAGAAGTTAGTGGAAGTGTAATGTAACAAATGACCATTTTGCTTGTTCTGATTTATGAGATTAACTAGACTCCTGGAAGTCATTCTTGAGAGCAATGCATTTACTAGATTTTAGGCAGGGCTGTTAGCCAACTCTGGAGAAGGCGGCTTTGATCGGGGACTTAACTTTCTTGATAGCAATTGGAATGGAAACACTGGCTGCTCAGCACTTGCCCAGTAGACATTCTATCTCATTCTTCATTTTCTTTAGACAATAGGAATTCACCTAGTGTTCAGTGCCAGTCAAATATTTTGAAAGCTCAGCCCGCATAAACATCTAGAAATGAAGTGGGCCTGGGTAGGGCTGAGGACAGTACCACTTGCCATAGACCTCATTTCTCCAACCAGATACTATTCAAGATCTAATTCTAATAATTTGCAACAACCCTATTTTGGAATGTGGATGTTGCAGTCCAATGCAGGCTGTTTTGAAATTCCAGATTTAAGGTAGAGGTAAATTCTCAGAGTGCCAGTTTGGTGCAAAGGTTAAGGCACTGGGCTAGAAACTGGGAGACCCTGAGTTTTACTGCCACCTTAGATATATATAGCCAGCAGGGTGATCTTGGGCCAGTCATACTTTCTCAGCCATAAAAAGGGGGCAATGGCAAACTGCTTCCAAAATTGTGCCTAGAGAACTGCAGTGATATTGTAAGTTGAGTGGAAATTTCCCCAATTATTAACTTATTAACAATCAGAGACATTTGTAAGCTATGATGAACATTAGCCAGAATTACTGACTGTGCCTTTGCCACTTTTTAAACATCTGCCAGCAAGAGCTGACACAAATAGGCTGACCACAAATATCTCTTATACAGACTACTGATAGGATGTGGCTTTAACACTTACCTAAAATACATTGCAGGCCTGCCCATAATTAGAAATGTAAGGTGACATGATATTTACCTTAAAGAGTGGTTAGGGACCTCCAGACACTCAGGGTCTAGAGATGAATGAAGTTTACTAGTAGCGTAATAAAAACCACATCCAAAGGTAGTCACCTTATACGGTAATGAAGTGGGAGTAACTAGTTAATAGAGCATTACTGCTTCAGACAGGAAGGCAGTGCAGAGAGTGGTGAAGATGGCAGAAAAGATTATTGGCTGTTCACTTCTTTCTATCCAGGACATAGCACATAAGCAATGCTTGAGCAAAACACAGGATTGTCTGGGACGCTACACATCCTCTTCAGAACTTGTTTTCCTTGTTACCTTCTGGAAGGGGCTTCGTGGTATCCAAAGCAGAACATCCAGATTCAGTCACAGTTTTGTTACATACAGCACCAACCTTATAAACTCTCAAGTTTCCTCTTTCCGTTATGTATTCAAAATAGACAGTGATTAATATTTATACATACATACATACATACATACATACTTACATACATATATGGTGTATGTGTGTTATGGGTATGGGTAGATATATACTTTCTTTTCAGAGCAGGCAACAGAACTTCAGTTTTAATTCTCCTTCATCTTGAGCGGAAATTGACTTCCTCAATTTCCCTGCTTAGTCAGTCTTCTAGCCTCCAACATGTCCAGATAGTGGCCAGAAATCAGTGCTGGCTGGAAATTATGTATGTGATTAGGGCAAGAGTCTTCAAACTTGACAGCTTTAAGACTTGTGGACTTCAACTCCCAGAATTCCTGAGCTAACATGACTGGAGGAGTAATTCTGGGAGTTGAAGTCCACAAGTCTTAAAGCTGTCAAGTTTGAAGAGTCTTGGATTAGGGGAACAAGACTATATATGTGATTAGGGACACAAGAGGTTATTGACCAAGAACAGAGAAATAGAAATTCAAGGATAAGTGGATTAAGGGCATAGAACAGGGGTCCTCAAACTTGGTGACTTTAAGACTTGTGGACTTCAACTCCCAGAATTCCCCAGCATTCTGGGAGTTGAAGTCCACAAGTCTTAAAGTCTTCAAGTTTGGAGATCCCCGGCATAGAAGTTGTTTGATTCTTTGAGAAACTTGAGTGCAAAGGGATGAAATTCGCAAAAAATCCAGAACAGGAGATCGTGACAGTAACTTATCGGGAAGGCAAGTTTACACTATTTTGTTTTTCCTGTAGGCGAAGCAATATAAACGGTAGTCATGAGAAAGATGCAAGAAAGCGCTCCGGTACGCAAGACAATTTTGCCTACCTTAAAGGATCTGGACGATGTCGCCTTTTCCTCTTTGATTAAAACCCAGCAGAAAGCGAAAGCTACTGTTTTCTCGAGAAATTCCCGACTATCCCCGCCCCTTGTTCGGGAAGCACCCAGCAGCCCCAGTCTCGGTTCCGTAGCTGCGCTCTGCGAGACCACTCCTTAGCCCTGTGACCACTCCCTCTTTTCCTCCGTTTTGGAAAAATTAAACGGCGAGCCTTTCAAAATTTCTTTTATCCGAGGATGCTAAACGTCTCATTCTCTTTGTCTCTCTCTGGAGAGACAGCTTGGCCTTTCAGTCTTTCTTTCGTCCCTCACCTTACAACCAACGTGGACTCCGCGTCATCCTTGGAAATTCCCGTTACTCCACCCACCCACCCTTACCCAAATATGACAATCCAACACGGAAGGGACCAATAAAAGAATAATATTTGTAGCTCAGGTGTTGACGTGAGGGGTCCTTGGTGGTCTCTGAGCTTGCTTGTTTTCTTGCAGACGTTTCATTACCCAAACTAGGCAACATCAGTGACTAGCACTGATGATGTTACCTAGTTTGGGTAATGAAATATCTGCAAATAAACAAGCAGGGGAACCATCAGGTAATGAAATGTGTGCAAAGAAACAAGGACGGAAGCTACTTTTGCTGCCCAGTGATGATGTTACCTACTTTGGGTAATGAAATGACTCCAGGAAAACAAGTTCAGAGAGCACAAAGAAACCCTAAGTATGGAAGGTGGGTGACAGGACTCCCACAATTCCTACAGTTCACCATCATCTTCTGGGACTCTTAGTTCTCCTAACCCCCAGGCCTATGACTTTGCTGTGAGGATTTGACGGAAGCTGCAGCCGAAATGACTGAAAGATGCATCAATAGGGAAATGGTGATCTCATCCCGGTTCAGGTTCTCACAATTTGCCCACGTTGTAGTCCAACCTGGTTCAAGGAAGGATTTTGTGACTAATTCTTACCTCCCTTCATGTCCAGAAATGAGTATGATTCGCATGAATTTTCTTCTTTCAGAATGGCTTCTTAACCACATTGACAGTCTGGAATATTGTTACTTTTGCTGGTGAAGCTTAGGCAAAAGCCTGTTTCCCTCAGTCAGATGGCCCTGAGAATTTGAAGAAATATGTGGCAGAACCGTGTTTGCACATATTTGCACCAAAAGAAGAAAAATAGTTAACCTGAGTTGCTCATTTTTGCTTTGATCAAGTATGTTAATTCAGTTGGACCCATCCAAGAGTTCATTTTGGGAGATTCTCTGAAAGATTGAGACACAATCCTGATTGTACAATACTAATGCATCAAACAACAGCAACATAAAAACAGTAGCAAAATCCCATTTTGAGAGATTACTGAATTGATTGTTCAACATGGAATTTGTGATTCCCACTTTGATATGATATGCAATCTTTTCACATCACACTTCATTGCAAACCTCCTCCCCACTGAAATGACCTGTAAACTCTAAAAAAGAAAGTCACCAAAGAAATAACCAATTCCTTGATATATTTGAGCAAATTACATAGATTAATATTTTTTTCAGAGTTCCTTATATGATTAAACTGATAGCTTCAGAAATATATTTAAGCTAAATCCAAACAGACCATATTAAGATGAAGTAATTATTGATCTCAAAATTATCTCCCCAAAGTATTCATTTTTTATGTCTCTTTGGAAGAAAACATATTTGTTGCCTGCAACAATATCCTTAGACTGCGTCATTAACTTCTCAATGAACTTGCCCATGCAGAATAATTTTTCTTTTTCTTTTGGAGCACCTGTGTTGAATTTACAATAATGTGATGATGTGAGATGTTCTTTCTTACTGTGCTGTCCAGACAGTATATAGTTAATTGGAAATTGGGATAATTAAGTAGGAATTGGGAGCTGTCCCCTTGAGGGCATGCCTCATAGTAAATGTAGTTAATGCATCATGGGAAATGTAGTTCATGTCATGTCATATCTGTAATCCTGATTAGTCATTGAATTGTCCCTTGGTTGGGTTGGGGGAGTTTCCTTTACTCTTCCTTGGACCCCAGCACAGTGCTAGTGTTTCACCCTTTGCTCCATCGTTATGGGATGAATATCACTATAATTTCACTCTATGAGGTCAGCTATGCAAATATTTGGACATTAGATTAATCTCGACATAACTGTGAGTTATACCTTGAGAATGCCTTGTGATCCAATAAAGAAACTTTGTATGAAAGCCTTTGTAGAGTTTGCCTGCTTGTCTTTATATTCAGCCAGCAATTAAAAGACAGAACAGTGAAATTATAGTTATATTTTTGAATTCCTAAGAATAGTGAAAATATAGTGCAATTTGAATTCCTGTGAGAAGAATGAAAAGTATAATGAAATGTGAATTCCCACAGGATACGTTAATCTGAATCTTAAACAAAATGAAGATATAAGTTAATCTGATTGCCTGTGAAAGAGTAAAAAAGTCATTAAACTGATATCCTAGGAAAGTAAAGAAGAAGCATTTAAACCCTGCATTCGATCTCTATTTCCCCCTGAGCAAGGAAGTCTTTTTCAAATAAGCCTGTTTGAATTACTGGGAGGGGCCAGAAATCCCCCATTAGCAAGAGACAAATAGAATCTTCTCTAGCTCTTTGTATTCGGTGTCTCTCTGCTGCCTTAGTGACTGTTTTGCAAACAAAACAGATTCGCAGGCAAGATTCGCAGGCAAGAGTTGTCATCCCTACAGGAATGTTTGCTGTGGGGGACAAAGGTGGTCATCCCTACTAAACTACAAGAGCCAATTTTAAAGGTTTTGCACGAAGGCCACCCAGGCATTGTGAGGCTGAAGGCTCTGGCCCGCAGCTACGTGTGGTGGCCAGGCATGGATGTCCAGATCTCCAGCTGAGTAAGCACGTGCCAGCCATGCCAAGCGACCAGACCAGCACCTCCTGCAGCCACTCCTACCCGGTGGGAGGATGTCGGGGCCCCTTGGTCCTGGCTTCACATTGACCTGGCAGGCCCTGTGCACGGGCAGACTTTCCTAGTCATAGTGGACTCTTTCTCCAAATGGATTGACCTGGCTCTGCTTCCTTCCACAACCACACTGGCTGTCACGAGAGCCCTAACCAGAGTGTTTGTCACCCATGGCCTCCCTGATACCCTGGTATCTGATAATGGCCCCCAGTTCACCTCTTGTGAATTTGAAGTTTTTGCAGCCAATCTGGGCATCAGGCACGTCCTCACAGCCCCTTTTCACCCTGCAAGCAGCGGGATGGCTGAAAGGGCAGTTAGGTCAGTAAAGGAGGCCTTGGCTAGGTTTGGCCAAATTGATTGGCACTCCAAACTGTCCAGATACCTTCTGACCCAGCACACAACCCCCTGTACCACGACCAACAAATCACCTGCAGAGTTACTGATGGGCAGGCGCCTTAGAACCACCCTGGATAGGTTGCACCCCCATTATGTCTCTGGCTCTCCTTTGGGCTCTGACAGCCAAGGAGTTCACCCTGCATGACCTGGTCTATGCCAGGAATTATGCAGGGGACCCACTATGGGTACTAGGGCAAGTTGTTTCAGTTACAGGACCTAAGTCCTATAGGATCCTCCTGGAAGACGGTTGTATGTGGCGCTGACACGTAGACCAGCTGAGGAAGCATTGGAGAAGGACAGCCAATGATCCCTGTTTCCAACCAAATGACCCGGTCTACCCAGCCAACGCCAAAGGTCCCCAGCCAAGCGAACCGGTCTACCCAGCAAACGCCGATGCTTCCCAGCCAAACGACCCAGTCTACCCGCCGCACCAAAAGCTATTCCTGAAGCAAGCCGGACGATGGACCCTACCTGGACCACTGACGGACGCTCGGACAAAGGCACCTGTGGGTCGAACTCATGCTCCAGCAGCCTCCAGTGCGACCCAGAGGGCGAAGGACTCTGTTCTAGCTGGAGATCCTCCAAGACTAAGGCGATCCGGCCACCTGCGCAAGCGGCCAGCCTATTTGCAGGACTATGCATGCTCCTGGCCAGGGGAAAGGAGTGTTGTATTTACAGAACTGATGGAAGTCCCCACTCTGGTCCGCCGTTCTGGTGGGAGCGCCGATCGCTCCCATTGGCTGATGCTGTTTGACAGCCGGCTATAAAAGGAGCTGTCAAACGGCATCAGCTGTTGCTGCCAGCTGATGTGCCTGTTAGCCCTGGCAGCCGCGGCAACCCTTTATTCGCAGAATAAAGCCTCCCTTCCCACTTACAACAAAAGAGATTGTTTTTTTCTGTTCGCTGTCAACGTTAGGAAGGAGAGTGAAAAAAGTAGAACTTTCCCTTTTAACTTCCATTCGCCGCTTGTAAATCTCTGGGAACGATGTATCTTTTGCAAGTTTTAAGTTCCAGGGTACCTTCATTGTTGCTTTGTTCCGGTCAGCAAAAAAACTTTCACTTCTTCTTAACTCCTCCTGCACTTT